AAAACTACTGTTACTGCTTAACTCCCCTTTTCTTATTTTTATTTTACTAGTTCTAAACGTTTTGAGTACTCCAGTGTTTTCATGGTCAGGGGTGACTGAACTCGTAAACTATTAAGTATTCGAAACAACGGAAATAAACTCGTAAATAAAACGTAAAAGTAGTTTAATTATGAATGTGTTGTCTATGATCGTACTCTCTCATAAACTTACATTTGCTAATCAGTGTTGCTAACTTTACAGATTCTTATCTTATCTTAAAACTTAAGTAACATTGATGTATCTTGTAACCTTTCAGATTTTACATATGTTGTGATCGGTGTCAAGATTGGTTTCATGGCAGATGCGTCGGTATTCTACAGTCCGAAGCCGACAATATCGATGAATATATTTGTCCGAATTGTCAGAAAAACAATTCTGTCAATTTCGCAAACATGAAGGAGTTAACTCACAAGGATTTTGAAAATTTGAAGAGGCTAATAAAACAAATCCAACTACATAAAAGCGCTTGGCCTTTCATGGAACCTGTGGATCCTAGAGAAGCACCAACGTATTATAAAATTATCAAAGAACCAATGGGTCAGTATTTAAAAAAATATAAATAATCTTATCAGTAAGAACAGTTCTCATTTTACTACAGTTAAAATGTTTTCAATTTCATTAAGTATAAGTATTAAATTATGTAATATTAAATGTACTATAAAATTATTTTTCATGTCCATATAATAATATTAAAACCGTTTTATGTGGAAACTTCAATGCTCTTAAATGAAATTAGAAGATTTATCGTATGCATCGAAATAACAATTGCTTGGGATTACTTCATACACCTAAATTGTGTTTACATAAATAATTCATTACCTATTTAAATAGTTTAATTGATTGTTTACTTTGAATTTTAACCACAAGCATTCATATTGATTACTAAAGACCCATAACTATAGCTACTTATCATAATTTAATGCTGTCATCCAGATAAATTCAGTTACAGTCTGCATAGCATAAATCTATATTTAGTTACAGATAGTTTTTGCCGACGAATATTACACATTTAGGGGTAGATTAAAATTAGCAATTTTTCTTAAATTAGATAAATTGTACTTAAATAGTTCTGTTGTTTCTCTTGATTGATTTTATTATTTCAAACAGTATTATTTTAAAGAATTATTAATTGTTATCGTGTGTGTATCGAAGGCAAAAGTTATCATTTCCAAAACCCCAAGTTGAATACGTTGATTATAGGCGCAGACGACGCGGCTATTTCCTGTATTATTCGTGTCTTACCTAAATGCCTTGTTTCCCATCTTAAGCACATCTTAAGATCTTACCCAAGAGGGTATAACCATTCTATCCATTTTTGCTGCGAATTTATCATGCATTTCGATTTCAAGAGCAAGAGAACAGTTGTTTCAAAGCACGTGTATCTTCAATCTCATATTTCAATGTGGATAACGGAATTCTCTACAATGTAAGTGGGTTCCAGAAAACCCTGAATATCTGATGAGCTCATCTGCCCATTATAATAAACGATCCGTGAGACCAAGATCCGAACGAGCTTAAAGCTAGTTCGATAAACAGTGTCAGTTTGAGTATGTCATTCATCCCAAAATATTTTCCTTTACAGATTTGCAAACAGTGGAACGAAAAGTGAATGAACAAACATATAGTATGTTAAGTGAATTTATTGGTGATATGACTAAAATATTTGATAACTGTCGATATTTTAATCCAAAGGATTCTGAATTTTATCGATGTGCCGACGGATTAGAAGCATTTTTTGCACAAAAAATCAAGTATTTTCGTGAAAAACTATTTGAAGCTAATCAATGATAAGAGTGAAATCGTGATGTGACGAAAAATTATTTTAGGGCATAGTGTGCACAAACTGTGCAGACTTGAGGACTGCAAACAAAATTGACTCGCTGTTTCTTAAAATGATCTGCCTGTAAATTGTAAAGAATGTGATGAAATTTACAAAGAATTATAAATAATCACCTGCAAGAGTATGTCAGTTATGTCTATAAATATTTATTGTAATTATTACATGCTTCAATACGTCTTAAAAAACTGACGCTCTTATGGTTTATTATTCTTGTGACAGTAAATATTATTATGTATTGTATAGAGTTGTGAAATATTTTGTTAGCTAATAAGAATTAGCAACTTTAGTTTTCTCAGTAAATAGAATTAGGTAAAGCTATTCTAATATAAGAAATACATTTTTTAAATACAAAACTTTTTTATTTCTTATTCAAAAATTAAAGAAAGTAGGTGAATTCGGGTTACTTCCTACCTAATCGCTGGTAGTCTAAGGGTCTAATCACCCAGTAAGACACGCGAAAACTGATAGTTAAGCTTGGGGGCTCAATCTGAGAGAGTTTGCTAACACTGGCCCAAGCCAGAGTCGTGCTTCGCTGTATCTAACACTAGATCGGAATCGCACCCAATGTGAAGACACGGCGAGAAACTCAGTGGCTAGTTTGCACGTCGAACTTTTCAATCTTGATCAAAACAGCGTTCTGGCGTTTTGTTATAATATACTTACTGATAGAAACTAATTCTAGGTCGTAAGATTAACATGCTTCACACACCAGGATGCTCTGACGGGTATTCTAAAGAAATTGGATTGGATGACTTTAAGAAGGTTATTTTGTGTGTAGGGGCCGCGTTAGTAAACACTACAACTACATGGGTCATTACAGAAAGAATTCAAATTTTATAGTGTCACCTCGTTACGAAGGGACGACTTACTTCGTTTGCAAATAATGGGGCTTAGAACTTATATCTCAAGGTGGGTGGCGCATTTACGTTGTGGATGTCTATGGGCTCCAGTAACCACTTAATACCAGGTGGGCTGTGAGCTCGTCCACCCATCTAAGCAATAAAAACAAAAAGTCGAACGAGTAGGAACGCGGCTCTGTTTAACAAAATAGGCACTTGATAAGCTTACATATTGTTAAAGTTTGCTGCCTATCAAAATTGCCATGAGCTTTAACACATTCCTGAGACATGACGTCAACGTTCCTAATAAATTGCTTAATTTACCTTCACCACGATCTAAATTTATATCCGATACGTCAGTATCTTAAGGTAGCGTCAGAATACTACTTCGACACAACAGCTCGACACGATAACCCCTTGTTATGGCCGCCGCTAATTACACATCCGACCCAGGCGATGGGGCGACGCAAGCCGGCGTCGCCCGAAACATGTCTGTCGGATTCCCCGCATCTATTCTCGGTGCTTTTAGGCTCTTCAAATCCTGGTCACCGTCCTCGTCGAACGTCTTGCGACTGTGCGAACTAACGCAAGAAAGAGCAGTGCTTCGCAGAATCTACCACAGGATCGGACACGCGACCCACTGTGAAGATCCGGCGAGAAACTTTGCTGTGTCTGCGGGTTCATACTAGCACGCTTCTCTCCGATGATCTGCAAGCAAAGGAAATTGTACCTTCGTAATAAGGGGACTCTACAAAATTTGCATACGCCCGGTCATGACCTATAGTATAAGTGCAGTGTTCTCTCACGCGGCCCGCATTAATATAAAACTCCTTCAAGTCATTCAGTCCCGTTTTTCCAGGATAGCCACCGGAGCACCGTGGTTCGTGAGGAGCGTGGAACTTCACGATGACTTGGAACTTTGTTCCATCAGTAAGTATCTTCAGTCCGCAACAGTACGTCATTTCGAAAAAGCGGCGCGACACAATAACCCTCTTGTCGTGGTTGCCGGCACCTACATACCCAAACCTGCGGACGAATTGGTAAACAGTCGCAGTCACCAAAAACACGTCATTTCGTATCCTCCCGATCCACTATCGGTGCTTTTAGGCACTTCGAGCATAGGTTACCGTTCTCGTCGAACCCGTCGCTTGCGACGAAGACCTCGGCGAGTAAATTAACCCACCGATACAGCCCACTGAGTTTCTCGCCGGTTCCGGAAGGGTGGGGCAGCCGTTGTAACTATATTTGAGACCTTAGAACTTATATCTCAAGGTGGGTGGCGCATTTACGCTGTGGATGTCTATGGGCTCCAGTAACCACTTAACACCAGGTGGGCTGTGAGCTCGTCCACCCATCTAAGCAATTAAAAAAAAAATCTCAGTGGGTCTTGTTTGCGATCCGGTAGTAGATTCTGCAACGTACTGCTCTTGCTAGTGTTAGTGTAAGCAGCGTTGCCAAGTTTGAGTCCCATGAGCTCACCTAATTATTAGGTTACGCTGACATAGCCTCTGAAGGCTATCAGCTTAGGTAGGATTTAAAAAAAAAAGCGACTCGGTCGCTTACCTTTATTATATGGGGACGGAATCCTCTGTGACGCCTAGATATTTGATCTTCGAAACGCACGGTATGGGCTGACCGAAAAGACGGTAAAGACTAATTTACGGTATAAATAAGCAAGATGGTTTTAGCGAGTGGCTCCATTTCAATCTTTCATCTTGTTGATCAAAGATCTACCATTTATAGCTAGGCCAGACAAAACGTTAATAAAATAATAAACGGTATAAGTTTCCCCTTGTAGTGAATATACATACAGTTTATAACACTAAGGAATCAAAAGTTCATTGAAAATAAAATTAACAAATTTTTGACATTAAAAATTATAAGAAAAGTTGAAAAAAGTCCATAGAAAATTCCCCGCTATTAAAATAATAAAAAAAGGGATATTAAAAGTACATTAAAAAAAACAAATAAACTAATACGTACGAGCCAAGAAAATTTAAACTTGAGTATATTAAATTAAGACATTTAACCAGGAGCTTATGTAGTAAATTAAAGTCGTCGAGATCATACAAATATTGTTAAATTGTGTTAATTAATAAATTGTACAAAATTTCATCAAAATGTGTAATGTTTGTTCTGTTGTACATAAAGTACCTCGCTTAAAAAAAATTACCTAAAAAATTATAGCAAATAAATCATCTTTTAAAATATCTTCACATCCCTAGTAGAACTCGTAGGTAGGTACCAATATTAGTGCACAATCCATTACATACTTACCAGGATTACCAGGTATAGTGTAATCTATGCTTTTGGAAGAGGTTATGTTTACTGCATAATTCTGTCGAGTCAGAATTCAGTTGATAAATTTTGTGCACAACTTACTGAATCATCTAATATAATAAGAAAAGTGTAAAAATGTTGGTGACGCTAAAAACTTTACAACAGCAAACATTTCAAATTGAAATAGATCCAGAAGAAACTGTGAAAGCATTGAAGTTAAAAATTGAAGTGGAAAAAGGGAAGGATTTTGTCGCCGACCATCAAAGACTTATTTATGCGGGAAAAATTCTTCTGGACGACAACAAAATAAATTCTTACAACATAGATGAAAAGAAATTCATTGTTATTATGGTTACAAAACCTAAAGTCTCCGAGAGCCAGCCTACATCAACTTCCATACCCGAAGCAGGCGAAAGTGCTTCTACTGATAGTGGTGATGCTAAGCCTAAGACTGTTCCTCCTGAAGAAGTAGTCAAACCTACTACAGCAGAAACTGAGCGAGTTACCGAGACTCCCAACACCACTAGTGATGCTGAGTTAGAAGCAACTATCCAAAGTATTATGGATATGGGATATGATAGGCCACAAGTTGAACAAGCATTACGCGCCTCATTTAATAATAGAGAAAGAGCTGTAGAATATTTAATAACAGGTATTCCTGAAGAATTGCTACATGNAGTAGTCAAGCCTACTACAGCAGAAACTGAGCGAGTTACCGAGACTCCCAACACCACTAGTGATGCTGAGTTAGAAGCAACTATCCAAAGTATTATGGATATGGGATATGATAGGCCACAAGTTGAACAAGCATTACGCGCCTCATTTAATAATAGAGAAAGAGCTGTAGAATATTTAATAACAGGTATTCCTGAAGAATTGCTACATGAACAAGAAGCTGAAGAAAGTTCTGATGAAGACCCATTAGCCTTCCTGCGAGATCAACCACAATTTCAGCAAATGCGTGCTGTTATTCAACAGAATCCCAATTTGTTAAATGCTGTGTTACAGCAGATTGGTCAGACAAATCCAGCTTTATTACAAGTAATCAGCCAACATCAAGAAGCCTTTGTCAGAATGTTAAATGAACCAGTGAACCCTTCTGCTGCGGGAGTAGCATCAGATGAGAATGTTGCTGATATTCAACAACCTCAATTAGGGTCACAGAATGTTATTCAAGTGTCTGCTCAAGATAAAGAAGCTATTGAAAGATTAAAAGCTCTTGGTTTTCCTGAACATATGGTGATACAAGCCTATTTTGCTTGTGAAAAAAATGAGAATCTTGCAGCTAACTTTTTGCTGTCTCAGAATTTTGATGACTAAGTTCTTGACTTAATCGAATGACAAGTGCAAAAGGAAAAAGTGTTGTTTTTTTTGCAAAATTCATTGTTTTAATCTACACAATCTGTGTATTTCATACACTTTTATAGAGCTTGTCATTATTCAATATCTAATAAATTTCTTATTGTTCAGTGGTTTATTATTTTTGCTTACAATCAAAGTAAACTTACTTAAAATAATTATCAAATAAGTAAAATGATTAAATTTTCAACCACATTTGTAATTTATAATTATTTTTCAGCTTGTATTCATTATACTTACATAAAGTAATCGATGCTGTTTAGCAGTTTAATTTAATTTTTTTATTATAAATTTTGTTTAATGTATATATTACACTACAACATAATACAAATATTTCACAAAAAAAGTAGATATAGGTCATGCTTAAAATCTTAAATAATGAAAACATTATATTATTATAGAATGTTTGGTCGAGATTTGCATTCCTTTTTTATTGCTGTAGATGGCCAAGTAGGACACACCTGATGGTGAGTGGTCACTGTCATTTAAGGACATACCAAGGACCAAGAATACTGGCCTTTTAAGTGTATTATCTATGATACAGGCTAAGCTATAGTCTATTATACTCAGATACTACTTTTATTGTGTTAAAAATAATACTAGAGACTACTGAAATGTTGCATGTAAAGTTTTTGTAAAAATGTAGGTATATTTTTTATTGAACCAACCAACACCTTGTTTTGAATTGGTCTACCAGTGTGGTTTTGATGGGTCACGTGTAACTCTAAATACCATGGGTCCCGACTATTGGCCTCAAGTTTTTTCTTCTTGACAAATGAAATTGCTCCTATTTTTCTATTTTCGGGTCGTTGTGAGCTCACAAATTTTCCTACATCTTTCGAACTAGCTCAAGTACTGATAGTATAGTGTTATGCGATTGAATGGTTTGATTTAGTGCTAACTAAGAAATTACTGCTTTGGCAGAAAATCTGCCCGCTCCTGAAATTGCGTTCGCTACGCTGCATCGCCTCCCTCGGGGGCGCAGCCCAATACGTTGGTCCGACCAGATCCGCACCGCTTTTGATTCCACGTTTCACAACGCCCTGCACACCGCCAGAGACAAGAATAGATGGAGAAAGATCGTGCGTGCGAAGGTGATACAAAAGGGTGGTCACGACCCTCAGCAATGAGGAATACGACGCAAGGAGGACGCTGCACCGCGGCTGTCACTAGTGATCGGCATAGCAGAGTATATGCACAACCTGTGCGCAGTCCAAAACAAAGACGATGAAAGCCAATTTAGGATATGTGGACCGCATTGTAGTTACAAGAGGAAAAAAGATCGCCAATTGCATTAACCAAATCGTCTGGATCTATATTTCCGTTCCATTCGTCATGTGTGCCATCTGTTTCTGGCACGAAGCAAACATGAGTTCCAGATTGAAGACAGGACCTCTATATTTTCGCAAGAGATAATTACGATGGCCGTTGGCTGCGGACTCCAGTAATCGCCTGACATCTGGTGGGCCGTAAGCTCGCCTGGTTCCAACAGCATTAAGCCTGTGTAAGGTGTTAGTTTTTTTTTTCATTTTCATTCAAATCAGAAATGAGGAGATTGGCAGGAAAACCATGGTAACCGACATAGTCCAAAAGATTGAGACGTTGAAGTGGCAGTGGTTAGGGCACATTGCCAAGGGCGGATCCAGCTTTGGCGCCAGGAGGGGGTCACATAGTCGATAGATAATAAATAAATCATGATGTACTTCAATTAGTCCAAGCTAGTTCAAGTCCTGGAACTAGCTCAGGGGGGGGGTCATGACCCCCATGCCCCCCCCCCCCCTGGATCCGCCGTTACACATTGCTCGTAGAACGGATGACCGTTAGGGCCGGAAAGTTCTTCAGTGGGTACCGGAAGACGTAGCGTAGGTAGGCCTGCAAGATGGACCGACGACCTATTAAGGTTCGCGGGGATTCGCTGGATGCAGGCAACGCTGGACCAATCTTTGTGGCGAGGTTTGGAGGAGGCCTGTGTCCAGCAGTGGACGTCCGTAGACTGATAAAAAAAATAATGTTAGTTGCCTTTGCTTTTGAAGTTTAAATTGAAATAATAAGCTAACTATGTCAGTACCTATAACAAATGATTAATAAATATACTGTTTGGCATTTGTATCAAAGTAGCATTTTATTACCTTAACCGTTAAGCGTCAAATTTGCTGGGATACTATAAACATAATATACTTTTTTTCTTTTCAAAATTTGCTACAGTAACGCCATCTTGAAGTCAATTGATTTTACCGATTCTTCTATTATGTACTAAAGATTCATCTTCTAATCACAACAAAAACACAATTCAGAATGCGATAGATATTACTCTGTCTACATTTGCTATCGCCAATATTGGACATAATTGATTTGTCGGTATTCATCATCAAAACCACAGGATACGTCAAATCCACGTTAAATAACAATAGATTCAAAACTCAGTTCTAGTAGCAGCGGTCTTTGTTTGATTTGATTATAACGCAACGTTAGATAATTAAACTATGCCAGCCAATAAACCTAGATCGTATTTAAATTTGCTCTAGGTATGCTCATTTTTTCAAGAGTATTGAATCTTCGTGCCCCTATGTACTTAACTAATTATCAAACATGGCCCCGTTATGGTGTGTGAAAACTCTTTAGCGGTTTAGTATGCAAGTTACTTTTATATTTTAATATTGAGATTTGAAGTTGAAAATACATAAATATAGGTATATACTACAGAATTTGCGTAAAAATTATAATGAAACACCGCAATGATGGTGTGACGTCGTAGGACGTGCTTACAAATTATATTAGGGAATTTCCGTTTTTAATATAACTCGAATGAACAGAAACAATGATTTAATATCTTTATTTAGTATTTTCCGGCACTTTATAGAGTATAATAGCTATTGATGGCGTTGACTATTTCTCACTTGTCGAGTAGTCGACGGCGACGTTCCCAAAAATAGTTTGTCAATTAGAACATTGATGTAAAATATTGTTTGACCTACAGCTAATTGCAAGTTGAAGATCATATGAAATTAAGAAAGGTACTATTAAAATGAACAAACAACGGGCATATTTACGTCAAACAGTTAATATTATTATTTATAAATAGCATTAAGTTAACATACAGCTATGTTGGTATAAACTTTATTCTTTCTAATTCAAAGGCACTTTCCACAATTTCTATAAATTATTTAATCTACACGTCCTATCATGGATGATGTGTATGCGGTTTATAATTATATAATTACCGTTAACAAAAAAAAAAATCATGTAAACGAAATAGATTATTTAATGTAATACAAAACGTAAATCATAATCTGTATGGCTCCTACCGCAAAATACATCAACCATGATAAGGATAAAATCTTATATAACTCTCGATTGTTAAAATAAAAATTACCCTTTCTCATTTTCTATAAACTTAACAAAACATGTAGTGGTTCCACATTCTTTTACGTAGACATTTGATGATTTATAACGAGAGGTCGTTCAAGTATTACATAGGGCAGCAGACATAGACAATCAAATATATTCATTCTATATACACAATGGTATCTGTTTAACTCAAAAGTCGAGAAACCTTTTGAAAATCAGTTTTACGTTTTTGTTATTTTGCTGATACAGGAGAGGAACAGAGTTGATGAAGAGTCTGCTCACTTAATACTTGAACGCTCATTGAATTAAAGAACAATGAGCAAAAATGCTAGTCATTCACAGACACGATAAAATTAAATTTTGAAATCGTCTCGTGAAATACAACAAGTTCTAAAACAGCTATTTTTTTAAATGATTAAAATTTTATACATTAAAAATACAAATTTCGTAATATCACTATTACGCGCTGTCCACTTTCTTCAGTAAAAATATATTTATGTACAATTTCTCTTTTATACAATCTAAAATTCTCTTTATTTCTACAACATGTACAAAAAATACCAATGTCTCTGAAAATCATAAGCGAGACGCACAGCAGAAAATAACTGTACATTACAATGTTGGTATTGCACAAAAATAACTAAAATATTAACTTTGGCTTATCCATTACCAACACCCTGAGTGGTGGTGAAACACTAGACTTACATAGTGTAACATCTATCACTTCAGCATCATAATCACAGTCAACGTGTGACATACACCAACTAAACATCCCGACAAGAACAAAAGCAACAAATCAATAAAATAACCATGCAAGCACACCAGCAAAGTCGGTTTCAATCAATATTGAAGTTTCATTAGAGATTGTTTTGGAAATGGCACCGAAATAATAAATACATGTTTATTATTATACATCTGGAATGGTAAATAAAGCTGTTTTGACTATATTTCATATTTATGATCTCATCAGAAACAAGTTTCTTTTTTTTTTAAAACACCAAGACATACTGGTTGATTTGCCAATAGTATCAAAATCGACTAAACTGATAAAATAACAACAGAAAATAATAAACTAACAAAAAAAAAAACATTATCAAATCTAACAATACTTTAAGAAAAATATTTTCTGGACCGTCCATGCTTAGTTTTTAAGTGATTTTATTTACAATACAGTTAATAACGAACAGCTTCGTAATTCGTGTTCGGGATTCGAACGAATCGATAATTAATTGTGAATTTTAATACAAGACTCAAAATGTGCCGCTGGCTCTTATCGGCCGGGTAACGGCACACCCAGTTAGCCAGCTTGACCTCATTCCGTTTTCTGTTGGCAATATAATTCCTTTAATGTTTTCAACTCTTCTATTAGCGCTTTATTTTGGTTTTCAAGGACTGCAACTCGGTTTTCAAGGCACTTGATGTACTCCTTTTTCTTTCTGCGGCATTCCCGCGCGGCTTCTCGGTTTTTCATTAGTCGTAGTTCTCGTTTGCGCGTTTGGTCTTCTAGTATGGGACCTACAAAGTCAGTACGTTTATTCATTTTAATTTTTACAAATACCTAATATTTGTATGTTTTCAAAGTTGTAATTATTTACAGGTTACGACACTAACCCGGTACATAGAATTGTCCATCTTGATTCGCTGCATACTGCACTATGGCTCCGCCCCCCGCCGCTCCGGACACGGCCAACGTGTGCAATCCGCTGTCAGTTTGTATAGTTCCAGCTGGAATGACTATACAGAAATGATCATTAGTAAAATCTGAATGCCAAATCGTTTGTTTGTAGATTATGACACTACATAGTGTTTGTTACTTTTTGGGGAAAATGCAAAGACTTTCTAACTAGACGTGTATACAATGCAGACGATAGCCGTAGACCAGTCGCATTATAACAATAGTCCATCTAATTATGAACGATGGACGATTCTTCATTGATTTATGAAGTATTTTAAGAGATGTAAGTGGAATTTAATTGTACTGAATCGATACAATCCCGTTCTAGAAGAAATCGGAAACAAAAGCACATTAACTGCAGGATTTACCATTTTATTTTTTTATTTTCATTCAGCCATTTTTATTATTTTTATTTGCGAGCCATAAAGCTCTCAGATCATTACTTGTACTAACAGAGGCCAGCGACAGCTATCACTCTTACGAAAGTACAAGATCAACAGTACAGTTAATTTTACATTAAACTAGTTGTCGCGTGTTACGAACCATTCAACAGGCAACAACACATTCCGTGCAAAAGAACCTGCTCTAAAAACTGAATTACATTATGTATTTTTTGTGTTAAAAAGACACCGAAAGCATATTGGTCACAAAAGTATAATGTTACACGCGACCTGCTACATACATACGTGCATACGTACATATCCTCTATTTTATAATGGTATTACTCGTAAATAATGCAGTAATCTGTATCGCACTTAAATTAAGAAATTTTTAAAACGGTAATCTGTTGACCATAACCGTACTATTTACAATTTTTTTCATTTTGCGTAAAGATTATTGTTTGCTTTTTTATTTAGACTTTAATTTCTATTTCTTATCGTAATAATGATTTTGTAAATTAAGGTGAAACCCAACAACAGTAGTGTTCGGTGTTCCCTTTAATATCTTAAGTATTGTCGCAAATTCTGAGAAGAAGAATTCAACAGATTGACACTACCGCGGACAGATTGAAGTCCGCTGCGAAATCTACGTTGTGGTCTCTGGGCTCGTAATCGCTTTATGAGATGGAAGCGTGAGCTTCGTCTGTGAGCGACAAATGTTTACAGATAAGTGAGCACTTTTCTGTTGAAGGTTCTTTAGTTTAATGGATACTAATTTTGTAAGCCCTATCTCCTGAGGATGAGTGTTTGATTGTCTCAGTAACTATTTGAAACATTATTAATTTTATGAGATAATATACAACTTTAAGTCCAAATTAGAAATTTCAAACGAGTAAGACTCTAATATAAAGTAGCTTTGTTATTTAACAACAAATTTATTTGTTGGTATGTTCGTTTGTTAGTCTTCGTTCACGTTCATGCGCAGTACATCTAATTGAGTGAAACTTTTTTCTTTCTCTTAATTTATATTGCGAGCCGACTTAACCTAATAGGTGTATGGCTCTAATAAAGAATAAAAAATAATATATATATATTGCATACAAAAAGTACAATTATAAAAAAAAACATACAATTGTTGGTATTACGCACAATAACTAAACGTTAAAAAAAATGCATATAAAATTAAAAGCAGATGTTCCTTGTTTTGTCATACAACTTTGACAAGGAAATTTTTTTTTTTTTTAATTAAGTACCTGAATCGGATAGTCTTTCATTAATGCACCTCCGTGACTGCTGCCGTTATTGATATCAGAATCCCTGATAAACATGAGCACTACGATTCATACATTCTAACTCGACGCAGAGGGGATTGCTGGCAAAGTGTTAATTGTCAATCGGTCTTAGGACCGCATAAGATTAAGGTTAAGACTTTTTTTTTTCCTACCTAAGCTGATGGTCTAGAGAGACCATATCAGCGTAACCTTAACTAGTAGGTGAGCTCATGGGGCTCAAACCTGACGATTTTGCTAACACGAACCCTAGCAAGAGCCGTGCTTGAGAAGCGTGCACTGAGAAGATCCGGCGAGAAACTCAGTGAGCTGGGTTTGTGGGTCAATTTACTCGCCGAGCCCTTCGTCGCAAGCGACGGGTTCGACGAGAACGGTAACCTGTGCTTGAAGTGCCTAAAAGAACCGATAGTGGATCGGGAGGATACGAAATGACGTGTTGTGGGCGACGTCGACTATTTACCATTTGATCCGCAGGATCGGCTATGTAGTTTCCGGCAGGCATGATGAAATCCAATAAAAAGAGACAAAAGATAGTATAAATAATAAAATTCCCTACTATGTACGTTACGCAATGTTTATTAATAAAGCCCTTTGTTTTGTATTAAATTCTCAAGATCGGTGATTCACAAATCTAACCATGAATCATAAATTTGATTCATCAAATTAACTGTTATTTTATGTTTTTATGTATTGATTAACTTTTAACTCTTTGAGGTGCAGTGTTCATACGTATTGAACATATTAATATAGTCTTACATTACATTAGCCTTAGGACAGCAGCCCTCGTCCGGTTACGCTGATATAGCCTTCAAGGCTATCAGCTTACTGAGCTAAGGTAGGAAAAAAAAAGGCAGCAAATGGTTAATAAAATTTAAAGCATTTGCTTTTTTTTATTTTCTTAAGTTTATTCGTTGATTTAAAGAAACAATAAAATTTATTATAACTTAAAACCAAAATTCATATTATGTATACGCAATATAATTTAAAATATCAAGAATCAAAATTTAGTACAAAGAAATACGCATTTCGAGACATTACGTCATTGTATGTCGTCGACCGGTTACGTCATCGGACCGGCTGGAATAACAAACAAGGCTTCGCGGTTTTCTAAATGACTTAGTTACATGTTTTGTTCGACATGTATTTTCAACATTTTATATTTAATTGTAATTGGCAGAAAACCCGAAAATAGTATAGACGCCGATGTTAGTTAACGTTTCAATGATTTAAACACACAACTAGTCACTACAAAAAAAAAAACAAATATGGTCGGTTTATTATCATGTGATATTAATAAAATTATGACTATTGTGTGAATATGAAATTTAACTAAACACACCTTTCCAAATTATGTAAAAAAACAACACAGTTGCTCAACAAGTTTACATCGTCATCAAAATTTTATTCGAATTAGGTATATTAAGTCGATTGTTGCAAACCTTATTGATTTTAAAATAAAAAAATTTGAATATCTTGAATATTCTATCTTTAATTTGTATTTTGATTATATATCGTATGTGCTAAGCTATAACTTGTTAACCAAAGGGTCACAACACATAAAACCAATTCAAGTCTTAACGACTCACAAAGTTTAATGATCTCAGAAAAATGGTTGGAAACGTTTGAAAAATGATCACTCCTAAAGGTGGTTAGGCGCCTAATTTCAATGGTCAGTTACTATGAGGTGTCGTAAGTAGTTAGTGACACATGTTGCACACAGAAACATATATTGTCCACGATGGTACATTTAACTGACCTGGTGCAAAAGATAAAGAAGGTGACAGCGACACTTCAGTCTCACATCCTGGTCTAGATCCCATGCGATTGTCTGCAACGTTATTAGCATCTTATATTTGGATTGCTATCTAGTTCAATATCGAAGACCTCTGTTACCTCCGTACTAAATTATATTTAATGCTAGTTGCATTGAAAATAATATTCGGACATTAAACATAACAAAGATTATTTTTATGTTGAAATCATGAATTTCGAATAAGTTTAACGGCACAGTTTTCACTCTCATTAATTTTGCAATTTAATTATACTATTTCAATTTAATTTTATTATTTTTGCAGTAAACAGGCCCTGTATTATTTATATTGTTCATTAGGTGAACCGATTGTCGAACCCGACCGCGATTGTTGTAAGTTTGTATATAGGTCTATTCTCAGTCTTACAAGATTTCCACAATAATTATTGGACGCGAGGGAACTAAGGTATCGAAGGGACGCAGAGCACCTCTAACAGAAGTTTTCGCGTTATATTTCTTGTAGCACACGGATTACCAGTTGTTCAGCAGTTAGCGGACCCCAAAGACAGGTCATCCAACTGAGACATGAAACTTTGTCTCAATTGAATAGTGTAATCAATACTACTGAACGGTCGGTTCGTTCTTTTGTCGTCTATTTTATGTATATATGAGAACGTTCAATTCGTTCCTTGTCGTCTGGTTCGTGTCAGTCTTTTAGGAAGTCAAAAGAAGTACTGGCTGCTGCTAGTCACGTGCGTCCTCGTTCCATTTCTCTCTTTATTTTTGAATTCTTGTCAAGTGTCTATCTGAGTCTGTGTCTATGTCTAGTCGTTGTAGGTCTTATGTCCTGTCAAAGAGGTTGCACGCCACGACAACTACCCTTCAAATCGTTCTGCATTCTTCAAACTGCGTTCCGTGTTACTGCTTTGCGGCTGAAATAGGCAGGGTATTGGTACGTGCTCGTGCGGCGCTACAAAAAACTAGTAATCATGCAAATTATAATGATTCCGGGGTCGATTTTTCTATACACGATGCTATTTCTTTATCGTGGAAGTAATTCCTGAACATATGTTAAGTACGTATATCATTAGAATGATTGGTAACTGGTTGCTAATTGGCTGGTTGGAAATTGAAGACCGACACAGTCGCATCACTCGATAGGAGAGATACATCAGGCGTCGTAACGTTTCGTTTTTAAAGACACGTCTTTAAAATGTGAACTCAAAACAAATATAATAAATATTAAAAAAGGAAATGAATTAATCGACAATTCATGTTACTAGTCATCTGGTGATGAATGTTATTTTCTGACTATGGAGTGATGCAGAGTATTTTACAATCAATTTATTTATTGTGTAGGTAACTTAATTATCATTTTATAATGGTTAGTAATTTTTTAATTATAATAATCCAGTAAAGTTTATACTCAGTATTATGAAAATTAATTTTCACTTTTTATTTCGGCTACAAGAGCGGAAAAGTATAAAAAGTTCATAGTACCTATAAAAAGGTCAATAACCATTTCTATGCTATTATTTATTTCAAGCAATTCATGTACAATCTTACATATATTCCCCGTGGACGGTAATCGTGCCAGATTTTAATTTGTTTTACGGTTTAAGCTAGTTTCATTTTAATAAAATTATATAAGTTAGAAGTAGATGAAACTTAGACTACGATTAAGACTGCTATTTGCAAATACCTTAGTATTATTATCCTGAATGTAAAAAAGTTTCAACTCAATCGGATCATTTGGAACAAAAAAAAAACTTGCATACTTATACAATGAAGATATTTTTATTTAGTATCAAGATATTATTTCGTTAATTATTTTTATTTTGAGAGCTAAATTGGTTAAATTTGTAAGTTGTATTAATGAACAAGATTTCCTACCAGAGTAATGTTTGAAAGTAAAAATTATTAAACTCAAATTATTCAAGTTTTATTTTTGGATACAAATGGAATGACATTAAATTTAAAGTTTTCAATTTATTCGTCTTTCAGGAGTTTTTCTAAATTATTTCATTAATGACACAATAAAAGTGAAAAGTATCTTTGTCTAAATGGACTGACCGATTGCCCAACAATTGCAAAAGAAGAAACGGTTACAGCTTACTTCAAGCGTTTTGGTTAGCTTCACATTTAAAAACTTACTGAACAAAATTTGTAGATCATATATTATTTTTTATATACTGTACATACACATGTGTGGAAATTGACAAAGAGTATTAACGAAACTATTATATTTTACTTGTAATTGTATTTTTTTTATCTACATTAACAATTAATAGAGGTGCTAACTCCACTAATGAGTGAAGTTAAATCCTCACCTCACCTCCAAATTTAATGCATTAAGAATTTAGCCAGGCTCAAAATATATAATAATAAGAGAATTAGATTGTTATATATATAACAAACCTAATGATATCTTAAGTCAGAGAAGTCAGTTTCGTCTTAAATACAAGAATTGGTATCTTTAAGCTACTGCCAGTAATTTCCACCACTTTAAGTAATATCTTAGAGCTCCACAGTGGGAGTGACTTGGTTCTGGCTCTGGTTTTTCTGATATCAATAAACAGCATATAAAACCCTCTTTAATTTTAAATTTGAGCCCTCACATGGGTATCAGTATTGTACCTATTTCTAGTGAAAAATAATAATGTGTCCGGTTTGACCAAAGGTGGTCATTGTATTAATGCAAAGTATTGAACATCATTGCAGTTTCTATGAGCTCCAGTTGTCGTTTTATAATATGTAGGCCTTGAGCAAAGTAATGTCAGCAGACAACCAAGGAGGTGGACTGACGATATGGTCAAAATAGCTAGTAAGTACTGGATGTAGATGGAGAAAGGCAAGAGACTGAAGGGAATTGAGTGCATGTGAAGAGAACTACACTCAGTATTAAGTGGACATGGGTGAAAAAGAGGGGATGTGGGCCCATCTCAGTATAGAAATATTACTACTAGCTTTTTCGGTGCTATGAAACATTAGTACTAGCGACAATTAATTGTGCCAGTTTAGTAGCATATTGATTGATAATAACCGATTTTAATTAAAAATATTTAGTCATTGTGATCAAATTATGATTATTATTGAAAGACAAAATATGACATTGTTATCATAATTATTGCATCTTCATTACTATTGCAGTATTATTAAGAGCAATACATTTGATAAATTAGTGCTTTTTCCATATTACTACATTGCTAGCTGATCCAATGACAAAAAATGTAATGATTGATTTAGGTGAATCAAGTTTGCATAATTTATTATTGAGTAGACTATTATTCGCACAATGCACAGCACTACATCTATCACAAGTCTTTATTATACACCAAAACAGTAAACATAGAAACTGTACCTGCAATTTCTGCTCCTCCAAGGTCATTTAAAATTTTTCGATAAGACGGACGTCTAGTCAACATTTCTCTATATTTACGTTTGGGACTTTCATCACCACTGCCACAGCTTTCATCACTACATGACTGACCTTGTGTATTCACAAGTGTATTAGGTTCTGGTTTTATCTAAAATAAGAAATAGGAATAAAAAAAAATTGAAACTTTTTTCTGTTTTAGATATTTAGTATGATTTTATGAAAATTTACAATTGAACCATACTCTAGTTATTACTTATTTTGGTCATTAAATATGCTATAAAGGTTGATTTCAAAAAATGTTTTTATCCTAACCAAAAAATTTGGCAATGATGGCTTTCTCAACACTATTGAGTGAATTACTGTAAGGATTAGAGAATATTTAATTTACCTGTAACGTTTGTAATGTCCCTTGCGTAGTGTGTATTACAGAACTGGGTTTACTAACAAGTATAACATTTCCCTTTGGTATCTGTACAGATTGGATATTGGATGCTGTTTGTATCACTGATTGTTGATTAGGTTGAATAACAGACTGCACCTGCAAAAATTTTAAATGATTTATATGTACTATCTAGTCTTAATATTTGTAAACAAAACAAACAGTTTACTGATATTATTGAAAAGGTCCCCTTTTAACTATAATATTAAAGTTTTGTATTAATTTGATTCACTCAACAAAACTTAAAGATGAAATTCACACCTGTGCAGAGGGAGCCTGACTGGGTAGAGTAAGTTGTACTATACTGGTGACAACATGAGGAGTGGAACCCGGTGTCGAAGAGCTCGCGCTGGCCAGTGGATCCGTCGTGCCAGCACCGCCTGTGGTGCCGTTCTCTTCAACCATCCCTTCCATGCCAACTAAGGTCACCTAAAATTCAAGGTCAACTCTCTATGCATTCTTCATTACTAGGTTTTTATGCGTATTGCAAAACCAATTTGTTTAGCTTGGCTCTATCGTTGCAAGGTTGTTCACGGGATATCCTAAAACGGCATCATCACGTCATAGCCAAAACGCGGTATTTCTTAACAACGCGTTTCATGTAAATGACACAGATTATCTCTGTGTTTGGAACATTTTGAGTGATTTTATCATCATATGGAACATACATTATTTGCGATTCCAAATATATGCGACCGTGACAGGTCGCAAGTTTAGTCTTCACAAGCACTCACCAGTTACGTATTCCTCGTCACCGTCTATGCTGCGTCCGGAGTGGGTGAACGGGAAGGTACGTAGTAGCCACGTCAACTGCGAGAAGACTCGTCACTGGCGGAGACCTATGATCTTGTATGCGTCATCACAATATGGCCGAATTCTNTATTTGCGATTCCAAATATATGCGACCGTGACAGGTCGCAAGTTTAGTCTTCACAAGCACTCACCAGTTACGTATTCCTCGTCACCGTCTATGCTGCGTCCGGAGTGGGTGAACGGGAAGGTACGTAGTAGCCACGTCAACTGCGAGAAGACTCGTCACTGGCGGAGACCTATGATCTTGTATGCGTCATCACAATATGGCCGAATTCTTTAACTGGATAGCGCATGCGTTAAAAATTCTCAATTTACAATAACTGTCAGTAATGGATGTTAAAAACTTTGAAATTACAATAAAAATTTGTGTTCATAATATGTCTAGGTACATAATCATTGGTTTCGTTTTTTGATTATCATCACTTACACGACATTTATGCATGTTAAAAATATTGTACAAGAAAAAATATTTTTAACTGTCCATATTTTTTTAAATTTCGCTAACAACTTAGTCCATAAATAATCAATGAATTTTAAAATAAATAATGAACCAAAGAAAACACCATTTTAGAGTAACCAGTTATAGTGATTATATACTCTTTGGGAGTAACTTTCTGTGTTGAAGCAATTTTATACTCCCTAAATCCTATGTGGTATATGATGACGTCAGTCACGTGGCTGCATATGCAAGCTACTTTTGCCTACATTGTATCTTCTTATTGTGTCACATATTGCAAGTGTCACGACTTTTTCAATGTAACTGTCACAAAACAAAACTCAAAATCAAACATATTTATTTTATAGAGGTAGGTACCTACCTACTATGAAGGGTAGAGGTAAGGAGAACCGTCTCATATGGGAGAAGCTTGAAAGTGTCCCACTTTCAACACTAAATAACAGTTCAAAAATCCTCCAGAATGGAGCTAGCATAGGCACAGGGTATGATATGAATTGAGCAGTTGTTACCTGATTGAAGTACGCTGAGTTAGGAAATTTAATGTATTTAATGACTAGAGTAATTAGTGACAGTGTAATATACAAGACCTCACATGATTACGTAGTCCAAACTAATTTCGTCAATATAACCTAGAATTATTGCTGTGGTAAAACGCGGAGACATCGATTGCATTTTCTTATCAGCTTTAAGTAAAATACTTTTTGTGATTTTGTAGTGCTTAGAGTTCTTTCGTCCTTTTTTATTTCTCTATCTTATTTTAATAACTTTCAGCGCCGTTTTTTAAAATTTACCCGGCTGCTACTGTAACGCCTCCTTTATTTAGCAGATTTTAACGGACACTTTTTCACACGCAGAGACGGTTCTCCTTACTTCTACCCTCCATACTATCTACCTACAGTGGCAAGCTTAGACCTTCTAAATGTCGAGGGTAAGGAGCTTAATTTCTGTATAAAAAGTGTCTGTAAAGTAGCGACCCTGTAGCAATTTTATTTTTGATATCCGTATCTCACTCCGTTTTTAATTATTATTGCTACATTTGTATCACACTGATAAAAAATAGTTATATACAGTGACGCTATTATAATGGGTTTTCTCATCATACGAGACTACTTGTCGAACCGTTCGTTCCGATATCGAGTCGAGGGAACGCGATCCCGCCCCCGTCACGTCACAGCCGGAGTCCCGCAAGGGTCCGCCCTCTCCCCGTTATTATTCAGTTTGTATATCAATGATATACCCCGGTCTCCGGAGACCCATCTAGCGCTCTTCGCCGATGACACCGCCATCTACTACTCGTGTAGGAAGAAGGCGTTGCTTCATCGGCGACTACAGACCGCAGCTACCACCATGGGACAGTGGTTCTGGAAGTGGCGCATCGACATCAACCCTACGAAAGCACAGTGGTGCTCTTCAAAAGGGGTCGCCCTCCGAACACCACGCTGAGCATCCCTCTCCCGTCTAGGCGCGTCGACACTTCTGCCTCCGCCATTCGCCCAATTATGATGTTCGACCAGCCCATACCGTGGGCCCCGAAGGTCAAATATTTAGGCGTCACCCTCGAGAGAAGGATGACATTCCGCCCTCATATTAAGACGGTACGCGACCGTGCCGCCTTCATTCTAGGACGTCTCTACCCGATGATATGCAAGCGAAGTAAAATGTCCCTTAGAAATAAGGTGACACTCTACAAAACTTGCATACGCCCCGTCATGACCCATGCAAGTGTAGTGTTCGCTCACGCGGCCCGCACTCACCTAAAATCATTTCAAATTATCCAATCCCGTTTTTGCAGGATAGCCGTCGGAGCCCCATGGTTCGCCAGGAACGTCGACCTCCATGACGACCTGGACTTAGAGTCCACCAGTAAGTATATGCAGTCGGCGTCGATGCGCCACTTCGACAAAGCGGCACGACACGAGAACCCTCTCATCGTGGCCGCCGGTAACTACATTCCCGATCCCGCGGACAGAATGGAAAGCAGTCGACGTCGCCCAAAACACGTCATCTCGGATCCTCCCGATCCACTAACGGTGCTTCTAGGTACTTCAAGCACCGGTCACCGTTCTCGTCAAACCCGTCGCTTGCGACGAAGGGCTCGACGAGTGAATTAACTCTCAGACACAGCCCACTGAGTTTCTCGCCGGATCTTCTCAGTGGGTCGCGTTTCCGATCCGGTGGTAGATTCTGCGAAGCACGACTCTTGCTAGGGTTCGTGTTAGCATCGTCGTCAGGTTTGAACCCCGTGAGCTCACCTACTAGTTAAGGTTCCGCTGGAATAGCCTCTCTAGGCTACCAGCTTATGTAGGAAAAAAAAATGGGTTTTTGAGTGGTGATTTACTGCTTACAGATAGGCCTATTTTCAACCTATCTCTCATATAAGATTATTCTCCTAACTAGATTTTAGGTTTAACTTAGGTTTTAGATTTACCTTTCATACTACTAAAAGACCAAGCTTACTATTACCCCACAGTGTCTTTATTAAGATTATGTGTCCTGGTATTGGGATCTTTAACCCAAGTATTTTATTTTATTATTACATTCTGTTATTATATGGAAAATTATAGGAAGAAAAATGAAATAAAGTTGATTAATACGAAACCAGAGGCGGATTTACCTATGGTGTAAGGTGTGCCAGGGGGGGGGTTGCGCCATTACCTAGTCAGGTCATAAGTATTGTCACACAGTAAAAACTTTTCTTTTAGAATGCTGGCCACAAAAAAGTTTATTGAATTCGAATTTCGAATTGTTCATGAAAATAAAAATGTATACTTTTAGAATTTTACTCATTTTTAAATATGGAGTGGACGCTTAAAGAAGACCGTGTTGCAGTTATTGCGTTGCATCGTTGCGGTTACGCGCCAATTCAAATTTTTAACATACTGAAAAATTTGAATATAACCAAAAGATTCGTTTATCGTACCATCAAACGATACAATGAAGACTCTAGTGTAGATGACAGGTCAAGAAGTGGTCGCCCTCGGTCTGTTAGGACTCCAGCAGTGATAAAAGCTGTGAAGGCGCGAATTCAAAGAAATCCCAAACGTAAGCAGAAACTGTTGGCCCTTCAGATGGGGTTAAGCAGAACCACGGTGAAAAGGGTGTTAAATGAAGACTTAGGGCTTCGGGCATATCGAAGAAAAACAGGACATCGTTTGAATGCTCGTCTAATGGACCTGAGACTGAAGAGATGCCGCGCTTTGTTGAAGCGGTACGCGGGAAAAAAATATCGGGAAATTCTTTTTTCGGATGAAAAAATTTTTACCGTAGAAGAGAGCTACAACAAACAAAATGATAAGGTGTACGCACACAGTAGTGAAGAAGCGAGCAACCGTATTCCGCGTGTCCAACGAGGTCATTTTCCATCCTCGCTCATGGTATGGTTGGGAGTTTCTTATTGGGGCTTAACAGAGGTACATTTTTGTGAGAAAGGTGTAAAAACGAATGCAGTTGTGTATCAAAATACAGTCCTGACGAACCTTGTGGAACCTGTTTCTCATACCATGTTCAATAACAGGCACTGGGTATTCCAACAAGATTCGGCGCCAGCTCATAGAGCGAAGAGCACACAAGACTGGCTGGCGGCGCGTGAAATCGACTTCATCCGGCACGAAGACTGGCCCTCCTCCAGTCCAGATTTGAATCCGTTAGATTACAAGATATGGCAACACTTGGAGGAAAAGGCGTGCTCAAAGTCTCATCCCAATTTGGAGTCACTCAAGACATCCTTGATTAAGGCAGCCGCCGATATTGACATGGACCTCGTTCGTGCTGCGATAGACGACTGGCCGCGCAGATTGAAGGCCTGTATTCAAAATCATGGAGGTCATTTTGAATAAACTTTAGTGTCATAAGAATCTATGTTTTGTTTAGTTCATTTTGGTATATGAATGGTTACATAATGAATAAACTTGTTTCAATTATTTTACATTAAACATGTGACAGAATTTATGACCTGACTAGGTATGTGGCACCTCTACACTTTAAATGAACTTTTTACATTTGTACTTATTCCATTTTGACCGCGCGCTTACTAAAGGGCACTCGGGTACTGATTGCATACAGGCGCTTCACGCAATAGGGATGCCTTCTTTTTAAGGCTGTAATCAATTGGTATGAAATTTATTGAAACGTGATGAGACGGAATGAAGTAATGTTGCAGTAAAATGCTAGTTGCAGGTTTGGGAAGAGCCTCTCTAGCTTCACGGCTTAGTCAGTTTGAAATCAGAAAAATGAAAAAAAGCCACTGGACGTAACTTCTCGGGATCCTCCAAAAAGTCCACTGAAAAATCTCAGTAAATGACCACCATTTTACTGAGATTATATTTCATCCCATATCATCTCATCTCATTTGATTTAATTTCATCCCAGTTGATTAATG